AAAAATAAACTGAACAACTTTTGCCTCAGGGTCACATCGAAATTCGGCACCAAATTTAGAAAAAAAATAAAATTTAAAAATATTTTTATATTTTTATTTATTTTATTGTTTTTGGCCCGGCCGGGCAAGTGACCCCGGGCCACTCTGGTAGCCTAGTAATATATATATATTTTTTATGTTTTCTTTTTTTTTTTGGCCTGGCCGGGCAAGTGGTCCCAGGCCACTCTGGTAGCCTAGCTTTGGCACGAATTATAATCAAATAATAGAGATGAAGGTTGGGAAATGTACAGTGCCACCCATGATCCAGAAATCCAGGTTTTCTCTTTCTTTTTTTTTCTTTTTTTTTTTGTTTCCATCCAAGGGCATGAATATTTCATGACGTGCACTTGTCTGTTTTTGTGCGCTTGTGTGCATTTTTCTATGTAGGTTCTCCCAAAGCAGCTACTTTCACGAGTGTTACCAAACATAAAGAAAACTGTCGAGTATGGAGAGCACTTGCGCTGTCGTCATGGAGATCGCAGTGCAGCTGCAGGAAATGCCGGTGCACAGCTTCGTATGCTGGCGCCTTGCCGAGGCTATGGAGAAGTTGGCAGCTTGGCTCAAGGCCAGTGAAGGCATCAACCAGCGGTTATCTTCTGCAGAGCAGGATGCACTTATGACACTTGATGATGTTGTTAGGCAAGGATGGAGGTGGGTTTTCCAGCAGAGGGGGAGAGGTGGGTGTGGGTTGGGGGGGGGGAATGGAAAATAAAAGGGAACTAAAAGAGCACACTTTCCGAAACAAACGATAAAACACACAAGGCAAACATGAAGAGCACACTGAAACCATTCATTTTTATCATTCTTCTTTTATGTACACACACACACACACACACACACACACACACACACACACACACACACACACACACACACACACACACAGTGTAGAGTGGCTTTTATGACTGCGTCAGATTAGTTTCTTGGACTTACTACCGTTCTTGTAGAGGGTTTGGAACGGCAGTCTGATAGGATTGCAAGGTTGGTGTGAGTAAAGTCGACCACTTTTGTCTCGCAGGAATGGGTATCGCTAACTCTGGGCGATGTGGTGAGTCCTTCTTATCCATCAGTCAATGAATCCTGGGAAGACTGTCTGTCGGGGTTCAACCTCCTGATGAGTCGGTGAAAGTCCGACGAAACAGTCTGGCACAGTCATGCTTTTTGTGAGTGTATAGCGAATATGACAACACACACACACACACACACACACACACACACACACACACACACACACACACACACACACACAAATAGAACGCCTGGTCATTATCGTTGCATCTAGACTGAATGCTGGCGTATATACTGCTATAAAGACCGGGTGCTGTATTCGGGTGAAGACGGTGGCAGCACTCTACTGCGACCAATTCACTCCAGAGGTAACAGAAGAGATTAAAAATTGACTCCAAAGGCGATCAGTTCTCTCCGAAGGTAATGTCACGCTCACAAGAACTGTCATGTCCGTCAATCTCAAGGTGATCAATTCAGTGGCGTATGAGTGGGAGGGTTGAGTGCCTTGGCAGTGTGATGTCAATGAGATGTAGAGAGGAAGGTGATAACGCCATGATATTGAATCGCATGTCATCTTCTTCTTTTACTAATCCTATTTTTATTTCTCAAAAGTAATGGCAGCGAATCGTGTAGAAGTGATTAGTGAGGGCGATCGTGCAAGTCAATTGCCCACTTTGGAAGCCCCAACCAGTTTCAAGAACTTTTCAATCTCGAGACAATGAATTCACTCCAAAGGAAATAGCAGAGAAGTGCATCCATCTGGTTCACTTGGAAGACTTGAAAACTCAAATAACGATGTACCTCAGAGGTGGTTTACATATCACAGCATAAACCACATTGCAACTATGCGGTGCACGCGCATGCATCAGACCTTCTCCTCTACTGCTCAGTCTGAGAACTAGATCATTAGAAAAACACAAAGTCGTTATCACTGTATCTAGACTAATTTGGCCCCCAGATACAGCTGTAATGACCACGTGGTCTATTCCGGTGAAGATGCAGCCCTGATCAGACTGCACCTGGGCATCTGCAAGCATTTAGGCACAGGTCAGGCACCTGGGAATTCGCAAATCCAGGTGCGTTCTGTTTGCCCAACCGTCTTCGCCTGAATGAACTTCCAGTCATTATTGCTGTATCTGGACCGGAAACTGCCCCAAATACAGCTATAATGACCGGTGTCCCATTCTGGTGAAGACGGTAGTTTCGGAAATTGTAGTCATGAGTGGCAAGCATCAGGGGTTCTCCCAAAAAAGGCACGCATGGAATGTAATCTGCAATGAGTCGTACAAGCAATATTCCAGACTGCTTGGTGATAACGACCGACTGCAAATCGGAATTCCATGGCCACCTGTTGCAGAGAGGAAGTGATCCTAACTGTCCATAATGGCAGTATACATGTTTATTCCACGGTCCCTTTCATGATGGACCGACAACTAAGGATGAAAAAGAATAAGTAAATTAGAAAAGGGGCAACACCCAATGGGAACTCGTGCTAACAGTCTGCAAGCCAAGAATCCACACTGCCCTCTGTGTGTGTGTGTGTGTGTGTGCGTGTGTGTGTGTGTGTGTGTGTGTGTGTGT